AGGCCAAGCCAAGCCCCAGCCTGGCCATTCTCTTTCCCAGCATGCACCTCCAGTGACTAGGTTTTGAATGGAAGCATGTGCAAAGCTTGACCAATATGCTGAGGCCAGATGCGGTGTGGAGAGGCCTGGCCATACCCTCAGGTTTTGTCCCTTGGGCCAATCAATCTGGAGGACAGTTCGAGGGAGGCAGCTGCCTTGTCAGGGAAAACACCCTGGTAAAACCACAAAGGTTTTTGGTGATTGTGCCTGGGGTTTGGTGGTTGGGGTGGGGCTATTGTGGGTACAGGAATCTTAGAAGCTGAAGGCTAACTTTAATGCTTCGGTGCATTTTTCTGGGGAGACGTTTGCCAGATATGCGAAGGGGCCATGACTCCCAAGAGGCTAAAGCAGGCGAGGATAACTCTGGTGAGTCTGCCCGTTTCCAGATAGAGGCTCAGGGCCTTGGTGGATTGCTGTGGTCAAAGAGCGACTGGATTTTGTCTCTTAGGGTCTCCAGAATCACTTGCTGTGATTATCTTCCTGATATTTTGGAACTCACACCCTGTAAACAATTCCCCCCTGCTTGGGGAGGGCAGTCAGGCTCTCCCACCCCAAACCCCTCAGGGTGGCTCCAGCCTCCCTGCAGGCCCCTGCACAATCCCCACCTAGCCTCTGATCCCCATCTTAAAAGAGGGCAAGACCTGGAGGCCTCCTCCAGGATACATTTCTAAATGGTTTTGTACCACCTTTTTCTTTACTCTTCTCCATGCTCAAATTGAGTGGCCGGAGGTTAGTTGTACCCCCCCACCTACCCCCACTTCTCCCAACCCCAGTGAATTCATCCGGGAGTGAGGCAGGGGAAAGGGCTGGGCGAAAAAACACAAGTGGAGCTTTGAAAAGGAGAGGCTCCAAATGCAATGCTTGGCATTTTCTAATAGCTCCGGGTGTTGTGAGTGCGGACTTGAAGCTGGAGGGATAGATAGAAGTTCAGTCCTGACTCTGTCACTTATATGTGGGCCTTGTCTCTCCTTCAGATGACTCAGCTGCAAAATAGCGATGATTTATACTATCTTCCTCGGGCCTATTGTGAGGATGGAAAGAGCTAATACTGCTGAAATGCCTAAAACAGTGATTATTCTTATCATGTGGGGGTTCCCAGATTTCCAGATAGGGTTTCTCTTTGCCCTCCTGGGAAATCATTGGTGGGGCACTGTGAGAAGAGTCCAGGTGTGTGGGCCCTGAGGCTTCTGCCACTGAGGGCAGGTGGGCAACCTCTCTGAGGGGCCCCTGGACCCACCTAGATCCCAGAAGGGGCAGGAGGTTTGTGGAGGATGGCCTCATGGACAGGTAAGACACTGTTGGGTGTTGAGGCATCCCTGCCGGCCAGGGAGGGACAGAGCCTTGGACGGAGAATTGGTCTAGTGCCTGGCCATTTGAGTCAAGACCGCTGGTTACCCGATCACTGTGGGAGAAAAGGAACTGTGGCCTGTTGAGGACTTTGAAAGGAGTGTTGTGTCGATTAAGTGAGAAATGGGCTTGTAATGCAAGCAAATGTCTGAAGAGTAATGGTGAAGGAAAAACACATACCATCCCTGCTGGGGTAGAGGAAGGAAAAGGTATGTCTGGGCTTTGGTTGCTTGAATGTTGGGGAACTGCTCCTCCATGGAAAAATGAACCCTTCCAGTTGGTGCCTTGAGGCAGAAGCAAGCCTTGAGCTTGAGGAAGTCCTCAAGTACTCCAGTACTGCCCTGGGTCCTCTGGCTCTGGGATGGGCAAGTCGTGGGCTGCTCAGGCACTTGTCTGAAGCTCAGGGTGGGAAAAGCCACGGGGCTTGGGCCTATAGGACCCTGGGGCTGACAGGTGCAAGAGGCACTGTAGGTCTGGCTGGCACCAAGGATCTAAGGAGCAGGAAGTGTCAGGGTCAGAAAGCATCCAGTTTCTTGTCCCAGGCTCCTGGCTCCTGGCTCTGGGAGGCACGGAGAGAAGGGGAGCGTATCCGAACCAGAATTCCAGAAGCTGCAGGTTCTCCCTGCAGGAGAGACTGTTCTGTGATGCCCACTGCAGGTGAGTGTGTCAGGGCCTCCCTCTATGGGGTGGGTGGGCAAAGGTTTGGGGGAAGTAGAGGAGGCGTGATCTCCTGGCACAGGGAGAACGTCTCTGGGCGTCTGAGATCCAGCAGACCCTGCTCCTGGCGGGGGGCACCGGACGGCGGTGCTTCTGGGTTTGGCGTTCCCAGATGGGCGTTGGCAGCTGCCAGGGACAAGACAGGGACCAACCTCAGAAGTCTCCTCACCCCTATGATCCCCGCCTCGGAGACCCAGCCGCGCGAAAACTTCGATGTGCACGCCCGCGACACGGGCCTGGAGGACGTACAAGGGCCCACGATCAATATCCACGACAGCCGGGCAACGCTTATTGTTTAAAAGGAAGCTCCCTTTGTTCTTGCGTTTTACCAAAGTGAGAAGCACAATTTTTTTCCTGATCAAAATTGTGCTGGCACCGAAGCAGCCAAACCAGTTCCCGGAAACCTGCGCCCCTGCCTTTCAGCCGGGACGTGTACTCGCCTCTGGGAGTCCCCGCACCTGGCTGGAGAAGGTCCCCAGGGCCGCAGATCGTCGCACCCAAGCAGGGTCCAAAGGCCACTGAGGCATTTCCCCACCCCCTGCCGCCGCTCTCCCGAGCGGGGTTTTCTTGGGAAGCGTAGCGGCTCCAGCGGATCAACGCGTCTGGTGGCCCAAGCTCGGCTTCCGATTCCATTTAACACGAGCCGCGCATCTTATCTCCGCGTCGCCTCCCCGGGGTTCCCACCCACCCCCCCGGCCCAGCCCTGCCCGGGCGGAAGCGGAGCCTCAAGCTTTTGAAGTCCCGAGAATTTCAATCGGAGAGGAGGCGGCGGGACCTAAACCCGTCGCCCCAGCGGGGGAGGGGCCAGCAGGCCAACGGGGGTGGGGGGAGGGGGTCGTCCCTGCCGAAGGGAGAGAGGGAGCAGTCGGGGCCGAAAACGGACCCCACTTAGGTTGCTATCACCCCCTCTCTGCGTTTATGGGGTTTCCCAGGCCTCTGCGGCTGCGGACTTGACTCCCTCTGCGAATTTACCTTGCTTCTTGGGCAGTGTCATCGGGAATAACCTTCCTGATACAGTAATAACCACACTATTAAAATAACCCTTCCCCACCCTAAAAAAAAAAAAAAAAAAAA